CCCCCCCGCCACAACAACGTGCGGCTCTAGTGTCGTAGAATGCCGAGGCGCACGCTGATGACCTCACGTAGTGCGACGGAAAAAACCTAGAAAAAAAAACGACGAGAGTGATACTGTGCAAGCTGCGGCAAACACACAGGATCGACAGCATTTTTAACTTCTGGCAGTCTGCTGTGATAATTCTAATAATTGTCATTGATTACTACGATAGGGATCATCACCGTCATCGTCATTATTTATTAATGAGTTCACCCACATAAAGCTCAGTTGTTTATCCTTTTTTTTTCTTCTTTTTTTAAATCTGTGAATTCAGGTTGACATGAATGTAAATGAGACTATTTTTTTGATTTGAATCTTTTTGTTTTTAATTTAAGTGGATTGAAGATGAATAGTAATGTCACATAGTGTAATATATGTCTTATTTAAGTCCAGTAAGAGAGCCGGCCCAGGCATTAAGATCATCACAGTGAAGGATCACCGTATACAGTATATCCGGTCAACGAGCAGAACAGGGAACACACACACCAACACACACACCAACACACGTACACACTGAAACTCTATTGATGCCATATTTGGTGCTAGAAAAGGGAATTCACCATATCTACGACGCAGACTGCAGTAAGACTTCTAGATTAGCCAGAAACTATCTAAACCACTCACGCCACAGGCTGCAGTGCGGCTCTATTAACCTGGTCGTCATGCTTAGCTCATGCTGCAAAATATCACTGCTGTCTATATCCGTAGTTTCCAAGTTACGGCTCGGCGTAGAGCCGAAGTTTAGTCGAGACCGAGACGAGTCCTCGGGCCGATCCGCTGCTGCTGCTGCTGCTCAGCCTGTGGTCTTCCAAACCCTTTAGATTAACCCGAGCCACAGACTAGATCAAGCGAAGAGCACTTAAGACTAACAACGTACTACTGAGAAAAAAAAAAACTGCGAGGAAACACTGAAACATGACGAGGGAGACGTCGTTTGTCTGGGGTCCACTGCTGAATCTGCAACGCCTCGCTCGTAGATTTGCTATTTTAAGGCAGCGTGCATATCAGTAAAGGAGATAAATAAGCCTCGCTGATCTTTTGCCCTTATCAAGCAACCGTCCAACTGCCAATGAGGTAAAGGGCAGACGGGACATTTTCGACATACGTCCAGGGAGCCGAGCTCGTTTCTGCCTCTTGGCGGACTGCAGGTCTCCCTTGGCAACAGGTTTACTGCCCACTGTAGACCCACGAGGCTGCTGAAGATGCTGTTGTTTTCTTTTGTTGTTGATTTTTTGTTTGTTTGTGTCGTGTTTTTTTGTTTGTTTGTTTTTTAACAATCGGAGTACACTGAATTATTTTTTTTGTCTTAATGCACTGTGAAGCGAGGGAGCGGTTCTCTCGACCTGTGAGGTCAGGGACGTGTGCTGTAGATGGCATCACGATTGGATGGGTTTTTTTTGTATGGCAGGGAAAAAAAAGAAAAGAAAAAAAAATTACACACATATATGAAATATATGTAGAATGCATATGAAGAACTTCAGCAGAAATGCACGTCATATCTGAATATTGAAGGAGGAGAAAGAGACTAGGTCGACGAAGAGGATCAATCAATTGAGGTCACGAGTTGAGATCGAGTAGATTCCACTCACCTGTTGTCTTGGGGAAAAAAAAGTGTTTTGTGATCAGAGGGCGGGATGCTGGGGGAGTGTTAGGTGTCCAGTAGCAGATTAAAGAGACTGGAACAAATTCTAAATTCAATTTTTTTCTATCGCAGCTGTGTCTTTTTCACCTCAAATTGATAAAGTACTGCACATCCAATGGGCAGATATTCAGCTCTGACAGGACTATGGCCGAATGTAAAATGCCAAAAAACAAAAAAACGAGGAGGGGGTGCATTTGATTTAACAGCCTGGTGAGGGGAGGGAACACCTCTAAGACATTTTGATTCAAACCAATCTGACCCAAACAAACAAAGACAGAGAAATCCTCCACCGTGTTACTGAATGTGTCACTCTCTGTTGGAGCGCCAGTGAGGGTTTATCTCCGCAGCTTGGTAAGGAGGCTTCTTTACTCCCATCTAACACCATCCACACTCTCCTCACCCTCCCACCCGTCCTCAGTTCTCCAGCGCACTCCCATCCTGACACACTCCCCTCTCCTCCTACCACATCGCTCCATGGGTGACTATGTCTGGTGTTACGATCAAATGCATGTCTGCTGCTTGCCCCGACAAACAAAAAAAAAAAAAAAGACGACGCCACACAGATATCGAGTCTCTCTGGGTTTTTTTTTTTTGCCTCCTCGGGGGGAGGGCAGCCGAGACGCCCTGATGCAGAAAACGAACGCACCTGCAGAGGTAGCTGGCAGGGCGCAGTGCACAAACACTCCTACCTGTAGTCTGGATCAGTGCAGAGAAGCTTTTTGGTTTTTGGGGATTATCTTGTTGCACAAATTGTGAGGGAGTATTTTGTCTTGACTGGATTTTTATGGCCTCAAACAGGAAGGAGGAGCTTTTGTTCCACCGTGGCGCCGTACTGTGCTGGTTGCACGGTGAGATCTGTTTTTGGACTGGACGAAACCTTTTTTTTTTTAAAATTAAAATGTCAAGGATTAATTAGTTTTGTGTTCCACGTGTGCTGCAGCACAGTACGTCGGCGGCGGCAAAAGCTAGTTTACTTTCATCCAAGACGGGACGGATTTTCTTTTTCATCTCATTAATTAAACCTTTTGTTTTTTTGTGTGTATGTATGTGTGTTTTTACACAGCGGCCAACCTCTTTACTTACCCATAGGGGATTGAAAATGTGACAAGTACTGGAAGCAATACATGTAGTGGCATGTTGTGTTGTCCTGTCCCTTATCCTCCGTCTGCTGTAGGGGCTTTTGGATTTACCTGTAGAGTAGGTTTACATGAAGTAAGACGAGTTTGTTTGTGTTTTAATTTGTGGAAGAAAAAAAAATAATGCTGCTATTTAATAATAACTGATGATACAAGGTTTAAAAACATATCGAAAATCTGTCCTTTTTTAGCTGGAGAGGCTAGTTTCCAGTGGCAGTGGTGATACATACTCTGTGATAAGTTAATAATAGTGTAATTCTAACCTGAACAAAGTGTGCCAAAATAAGAGTTAAACTGTACATGTTGTTGATTTCAAAACCACATTAGGGTTAAAGAGGAGACATACTTTTATATTAAGAAAAAAATGTGAAAAGTGCCAAATGAACCATATTTATAATTAAAACACGTAGGAAGGGAGCAGCTCCCGCGACACTTTCTTAAGATCTACGTAGACTCTTAACGGACGAGAAGCGCCTCAGTTTGTTTAAGTCCTCTCTGTTCCTGCCACAAGAGGAGCGGCCGCCGCGTTAGCCAAGTGTTAGCCCGTCCTCTGGGGAGGGGAACCGCGTTTCCCAGAACGCAACAGCACTCTGGGGGCGACATCAATAGAGCGATAGGTTAGCATTAATTAATGCTGAAATAAAAAAATAAATAAGATAAAAAAAATGTGACTAGATAGCATTCTTAAACACAGCCTTTTATAGTTACGATGAAGATGTATTTTGTGGAAATAGATGTTATCTTTTTTGCACGTCTATATTGCATGATATCAAAGTGAAGCGTGGACACAAAAAAAACAAAAAAAATACGGGAAAAAAAAAACAGAAACAAACTGGAAAAAAAAAAAAATTAGGCAGTGTGTGTTGTTCATTTTTCGGAGACAAACCTTTGCATGCCGATAAGGGTCGAGCATTTTGATATTGTTTTACACGCGTTCAAGCTGTTCGTCGTTTCTTCGATCGCGTCGAGTCCTCGGATCTTTGATTTTTACACCAGGATGAGTATTTTAAGTTGTCGAACCTTCCTCAGAGGGACACGAACAAAACTCGAGAACAAAAAAAAACCTATTTTGCTACTTGTTGAGCGAGCTTGGACTGAAAAAAAAAAATTTCAAAACAAAAACCAGTCAGGATTTAATTAGAAATCGAGACTGAG